ATTTTGATCATAATTCATGCAAATTGAAGATATGTAGATTATATTTTGATCATAATTCATGCAAGTTGAAACCATTTTAACTGCTTTTTAATTTTTTAGGATTTTTTGACTTTTTACACCTCTTCCATTCCTGTATCTCAAACTTTTAACTTATAATACTCAATAAAAACAAAGGTTTTATCATTATCAGTACACGTATCGGTCGACTCTGACGCTATGAGTATGAGCATATTGCTGCTGCTGTTGTTGTTGCCACATTTGTTGCATGGTGGAGACTTAATGCTAATACGACGACTAGTTGCTGTTGGCTGGAATTGGTGCTGACTTTGATGTTGCTGTTGATGGGCTCGTTGATCGTTGTCTATAGAGTATTCAGGACTAGGTGAAGAATAACCGCCGTCGGTAAGGGCATCCTCGCCTTATTACAGCATGTAAGTTCGAGGACGATAGACAAAATTCTCATGTAAGAGCCATAGTTAAAATTGCACTTAAATTTCAGGGGTACCCGTTGAATGCTTGAATGATAGCTGCGCCTAAATACGCAATAAGGCCACGAATGAAATTAGCAATAAAGAGTTTAGGATCTGGTTCAAATGTTTAAAATCATGTAATCGTCATCATTTTCATAGAACTTCAACAAGCTTTTTTTCAATTGAAGCTTTTGTTAAGAAATAACTTTCTGTCTAAAAGCTTGAGAAGCTGTAACGGATAACTCATAATAATGAGTATTTTTAACACACAAACTTTTTTCCTTGCATGCGGTATCCATCTGGCAAGGGGAGTGAGAGGGGAGAAAGTTTTTAAACAAACAAAATTTAAAGTGATGAAGCGCTCATTTTATGTCAATAGCTTTAGTAGGTTATTGGGAACAAACCGAAACGCAACTAAATGGTGAGGCGCCCAATCATTATCCATCTTTAGTTAAGACCGATGCAAGCCTACCAGCCTATTGTAATCCTCCAAACCCTGCCCAAACGATTATGACGAAACACAAGGTTGCAATATGTATCTACAGGTTGCTGAAAAATTTGGAAATTCGACTCTAGCGAAATTTCGCCAGTATATTCCCATGAATTCGAAATGGGCAGTGTTCAAAATAAGGCTTTATGTAAGGAGTGATCGAAAAAGTGGTCCAAATTTCATCAAAGTATCTCAAAAGTAGCGACCTGTAGGCTGAACAAGTAAAACAAGGCGGATAGATTGACGGACACATAAGCCTAGATTGATTTTGGTACGATTTGATTTGATTGGGTATGATACTAGGTGCGTCTTTTTCAAGTCTTTGTCATCTGCACAAACATAATATACCCTTTTACTGCAAACAGTGCAGCACCACTTTCCGAGCGTCACCCGCGCATAAGTGTATGCGACGGTTGTGGCAGCAACCAAATCATTAATAGGTCGGAAAATGGGCCTTTCAGCAATACACTCGCATCAGACATAGAGAAAAAAATCTATTTTCCCGCTCCGACTACTAGAGGTGATCTTGTAAAAGTTGCACTATGAACTTACTCACCAGATTTGACATCCTCCGCCTTTCATTTGTTCGCGAGCTTGAAAAAATTTCTTGGCCACAAGAAGAACAAGCAACCTACACCAAAAAGTAAAAATAACAAGCAACCTATATCAAAAAGGAAGAAGAACAAGCAAGCTTTACCAGAAAGGAAGAAGAACAAGCAACCTAAATTAATGGTTTATATTAGTGCGATATGTTATATTCTTCTCCTTTTTTTTTTTGCTTGATCGATACAAAAAAAATTTTGCTATCGTAACGCTACTTTGGAGCAAAATTGATGGATACATTGCTATGACAAATGCACGCTCATAATGACAAAATTTGATGGGAAAATCCAACGAAAAAGAATCGACGGATCATGGTGTATATGTTCGTTATGTATATTTAATTGATTGAAAGCCTATTGAATGATTTATGCAAATACATGAAAGCCCCTTTACCGCTTAATTCTCAATATTTCTCCGCATAAATTGTCAATTGTATTTAATTTTTATTAACTAAGCTTTCAATCGTAGTTCGTGTTCGATAAGCAATCGTCTTTTCATTAAATAATAAAGAAATTTTCGAAATTCGGTTTTTAATAAATTTTTTATATATATCTATGCTCACAGTTACAATTTCTTATTTTACATTTAATCAATGTTCTATTACAATTCAAAATAAGGCAAACAATATTATATTAATATATGTTTAGCTCAAAATAAATATAGCATTCATTATCCTATTTCTCTCCTGACAAACAAATTATGCTATTTTCATTAATTCCTTGCCTTCATTATTTATAGCAATTACATATTATTTTCATATTTGCATTTAAAATTCGATTCCTTTTGTTGAAATAGATTCACATTCATTGTTAGTTGCTTTGCCGCTGCTCGAGATCATATTTGAGACGACGTATCACTTGTATTCCTTGAGTTACCAGCACGAATAAATTAACCGAAAGCATTGTATAATTCTTCGGGACTATTACCACCGCGTAGCGGGACCAAACTACACCGGTAAGCGCTAACACAACTGATTGATTAAGTGATACTTTCTCCGCAGGGCGTTTTAAATCATTTATACCGGCTATGACAAGAAGCTGTGTGCAGAGTAAGGTAATAGAATGAGAAATTACTGTAAATTAATTGAAATTTTTATACCCATTTAAAAGCTGGAGCCCAAAAGAATACATACTTTGGTCCTGTAAAGTGATCGTTATAATGAATAAATGATTAGTTTAGCTTATTTTTTACCCGCCGGGCTATTCCACGCTGGACGCAAGACATTTGGCACAAATTTATCAACCGTATTGATGATACCAGTGTAAAGTTTAGTAGGGGGTTTCCCTTCGTCAACCATCATATAAAAGGGAAATTCTCACAGAACACGTAACAATCGAAAGTATTTTATTATGAATTACGCCTGAAGCGTAAAACGGGACCAGTTTTTCGCCGAGATTTTCTTTTCGCTCCCTTTTTAAGATCGCAATTGTAACACAGTGTATTCTATCGGCTACTAACTTTTTCCGCGAGCAATGCTTCAAAGACTTTTCACTTTGCCGTTCGTGGAAACTCAACACAGTTTCACAATATCTCTCACCGATTACTGATAGTAGTAGTCTCGTCCCAACTCGATTGCCTAAACTAGCAGCAAGGATGGATATGGCGTAGCCGACGAACATTAACACACAAAATGTTTGAATTATTAATTATTTAATTAGTTCGCTCACTGAATTTCATTGATACTTACACGTTATCAATTGCTAAATGTTAAAAATCAAGGGCACTTCAATTGTTCTTGGACATTTTTCAACGGAAAATTTAGTTTTCCTTTTTTTTTTTTTCCACTACGCAATTCTTTTCATATTATTCTTTTCCGTTTTTTTTTTTTTGATTTATTCCTTTTTTCATTTATTGTGTTATATGTTAGACTTTGCAAATATTTTTTTTTTTTTCTGAAATTTTATGGAAGAAGAAAACCAAAATTGAAACACCAAGAAATATTGAAATTTAGACTTTTGTTTTCTATTTTCAATCGAAAAAAATTAAATAAAGTTACGAAAATTTCACATATTATTTAAATATGTTCATGACGTTTATTGTTTCTTTTTTTTTCGTTTGTTTGATTGAAAAAGTCATTTAAATAAATTTATGTTTCTTCTATTTTATTAGGGTTAAAAAATAAAGTGTGTTAAGAATATCCATTAAATATGTGTAGTTAGAGATGAAAAGCAGAGTTTTGTATTGAGTGGTTTTTTTTTCTCTCTTTTAAATTTATTTTAATAAAATAACTTGTAAATGGCAAAACAGTACAAAGCATAAAGATACGTCCTGATTCATCGTGCTGCTTTCCAATGCGTATTAAAACTCAAAATTTAAGAAATCCTCTTGTTGTTGCTATGTATATATATATATATATGTATATATATATAAATAAAGTATTAATTACATTAGAATATCATGGACTCTGTTGATTGTTGATCTAATTGTTGGTGTAAAATCAATATCTTATTTGTATGGGTGTGTTTGATTGCGTTTGGATTTTCCTTTGAATTTTTGATTCTTTCCGAAAAATGAAAAAAAAAAACAAAAAAAACAAAAAAAATGAAAGACATACGAAAAGAGAATAACGGATCATCATAAAACAATTTTAGTTGGTTTGTTTACAAACCAACATAATCATGGTCGCATGGTGGATAATTTCGTTAAAAATTAAAAGTATTCATCGTTAATTTTTCGGCATTGGGGTCAAATTGATATTGAGTTCCATCCGAGGTAGGAGCCATGTTAGCCTGCTCAGACTGAAAGTTAACAATTTGTAAGATATCATTAAAGAAAAATGTTGAATTAATTTTTAATACCTCATCGGAGAAATGTTGTTCTATTATTTCGTAAGCTAATTTATAAATTTCAACATTTTCGTGAGTTTGTAGTCTTTCGATTTTCTCTAGTCCATCGCATTCTTCAATGAGATTTGCCACTTCTTGGCTGTGACCTTCAGCCGTCTTGAGCATGTTATTCAGGCCATCCAGAACCACCTTCACGTATATAAATAGAATTATAGATCAAAACAGTGTAAACGCTTTAATAAATTGCTTTTGTAACTTACATTGATTACTTGTGTATCTTGGCAAGACAAAAGATCACAGAAGGGAGGTATGACACCTTCCTTAATGAGCGTAAACACTTGATCGCGATTTCCGCTAATAGTCAAATTGCTAATAGCCCAAGCGGCTTCTTTTTGCGTTTGAAATTCGCCATTGCGTAAATTCTCAATTATTTTGGGTAATAAACCGCAATCAATAACCGCCTGTACTTGCGATTGATTGCCAGCGGTAATATTGGATAAGAACCAAACAGCTTCCTTACGTATCTTCTCTTTCTGATGCGATAACAAGGCCGGAAAATATGATAAAGCGTCATAATTGAGCACCACTTGCGTTTGCTCATCCGAACCAGTCACAATATTTCCAACAGCACGTAATGCCGCTGTCTGCACCTTCACCTCAGCATGGCCCAATAATGGAATCAATTTTGGTACCACTCCACTCTCTATTACCATTTGAATTTGATCGTTTCCGCCGTCAGTTAAATAGCTAATGGCCCATACAGTGTCGACTAATATGTTTGTATCTGTGTGATGGATTAATGCGTTCAAAGCAGGTAAAATTTCATGTATAGTGGCGGCCGGCGGTGGGGGATCCTTGTTACGACATAAATTAACAATCACCCAAGTGACATTGCGCAAGAACGATATTGGTATATCGGGTTTAATAAACGATAATAATGGTTGCACAACTCCATATCGGATGACGAAGTCACGTAACTCGGGCCCGTCGCCGATAATATTACCCAAAGCCCAAACAGCTTGTTCACAAACGTTAGGAGCGGGTGAAGAGAGCAATTGCAGGAAAAGTGGTACAGCTCCAGCAGCCACCACCTGATTTGTTTGTTCTGATGTACCCGAAGCAATATTGGTTAAAGCCCAGGCGGCCTCAAATTGCAACATCGTATGATCATGTTGCTTTAGGCAGTCCACCAATATAGGCAATATGTCGCTTTTAATCAAATCGTTAATTGGTGGATTCTTGTCCGAAGACAGTAATTTACGGGCAGCCTGTACTGCTGCCAATTGCTGTTCGGGCTTGGAGGAGTCTGCGGCAGCTTCCGCAAGTTTTTTCAAATTGATTTGATTCGGCAACTGATCATCCTCATCTGTATTGGAATCCATATTAGGGACATTACGACGCTTGAGTATCGTTTCATCGCGTTTATTTTTACGCAATTCAACTGTGACTTCGTTACGTCTACGACGCATTTCCTGCAAACCATATTTTTTTTATTATTTATCACAAAGCTGCATTTAAGAGCAGTTTATATACTTTTTACATGCATATACATTCCTACGAAGATGGTCTTTCACCAAAAATTACTTCAAACTGCCCTATCATAAAAGTTTAAAATTAAATGGAAAAACGTCTTTGTAATGAACGTGGAACACTAAACATTCTAGTACTTAATTAATTTTTAACGTTTGCTTTTGGTGGACAAAAGGTGTCATGTGTATCTTCATCATCCAGCGATCATTTGTCTTCTTTTTCATGTCTACTCTCGCACACGAATGTTTTTCTCTGTTGTAATAGTGTTAGTTAATGAAAACAGTAAACAAGAAAACAAAAGGAAAACTGAAAAATCACCATTTATTGAACCACGAGGAAATAATAAAAACGAAATCGATAAGGAAAATAGGAATATTGATAAAATGTTTGAATTTTATGATTAATATAGCTAGCATTTATACAACAACAGTTTTCATTTAATGACAACCGACTGGCTTAGTAAAATTAATATGAATATGTTTCCTCTTGAATTCTTTTCACGCATTACTGTTTTAACGAAAACGTGTGCACTTTCCAAGGGCATTTATATAAAATTATTCATTTAATTACAGGGCGTGGCCTTTTTTTACCACTTAATAACAGTACTTACATCTTGATCCTTCCCTTTGTTTTTGAAATTTTGCAAACGATTCATATTTGGTTCAAGAGACGTCATTTTGTGTATTATGTGAGTACTGCCGTTACTGAATAATTATAATATGTCAAGAGAAATTCTCCCTAATTTTCTATTCCGGCCTTATTATTTTCCTTTTGATATTACACTGAATTTTTAGTTTAATTGTATTTCTTTAAAAAAAAATCACTATTTAAAAAGAAATTTTATGAAAACAGCACAGCAAGCGCGACCAAGGAGCACGAATAAAATAAACGAGCGAAAAAAAAGATTTCAAGTGTATTAACACAGCAGCAGAAGTTGGAGGCGTCGGCGTCAGCGTTAAAGCGGAGTATGTATAGCACAAAAACCGATAAAACAGAAATGGCGTTAAGGTTTAGAAAAAAAAATTAACAATTTTTTATCAAATCTGCTTTGCTTTTTCTGCTACAAATCTCCTTGAGAATGTTTATGTTTTTAATTACAGTGGTTTTGCTTTCCTGTTAAAACCCTTCTAAAGGCTTCTGGAAAATTTTTTTATTTGCTTTTCCAAGTTTTTCGTCTATCAAATAGTATTGTCACTTCTTTTCTTTCCAATTATATAATTTTTTTCAATCTCCTTCAAAATACTTCAAAATTAAAGAATTTGTTAAAAGTGTTACGAAGTTTAAAAAAGAAAAAAATCTATTAATAATTCAATAAAAATTACGTTCAACGTCTGAATACACACGAATTTTCATTCTTTTGGTTGCTACTGAATGTCAACTTTTCTTATTTTTTCTTTTTATCTCTTTCCGTAAGAAAATTTACGAATCAATCATCACGTTTTGCGTTTCATTAAACAATGTAGCACAAGTAATGCCACAAATACTTTAACATGCCTGTTTTTTCTTCGAATGAATGCAAAATATAATTTTCTTTCAGTGAATGCAATATATACAAAATTTTTAAGTACTCTCTTTCGTTAATTTGATTTGAAAGAACAAATAAATTTATTATTTTCAAAACTCTAATTTTATATGATAATATTATAGAGCGAATTTACGATTTCTCATTTGCGATGGCAATTCTTTCATAAATATGACTATTTTAATTAGAATTACAGGTCGTTAAACAGAGACAACTATATTTAATTCAAAATATTGACTGGTATATGTTTAATAACTCAGCAGCACTGTTCAAACAACTACATACAAGTATAACGAACGACGTCTCGTTTTCTGTGTTTGTTTCGTGCTTAGAGCCATATAAAAAATTTTGCGGAAGGCTTTTTGTGTGTTAAATATATCAACCAACTTCAACTTAAAAGTTATCAATAAATTTACAAAACTTCTTAAAGAAAATTGGGAAGAGTTACGGTAAATAACAGGCGCCGTGATTAGGCCGCTCTGTAAGTTTGCGAAAAGCCAATTGTTATTTTTTTATATTTTGTGCGCTCGGGTGAAATTTCATTGAACTGAGAAAACAAAGGCAAAAGACGTTCGAACGTTGGGACGAAATACAACTACATGGCCAATAACGACGACGTGAAGAAGAAGCATCAGCAATTTTTTATAATCCAAAAAAGTGAAAAATCTTTGTTAAAAAAAAAAACCAGTGCATTATTTGTTTATCTGTCACAAGTACTTCGCAGACATAATTCCTAAAAAATCGAATAATTTTAATACGTCGGATAACAATTAATATAAATCAAAGGTATCATCAATATACATTCTAGATTGTGTTGGTGTATGAGTGTGAATGTGTTATTGAGGCGAAAATTGCTTGCGTTTGTGTGTTGCAATCAATTGGACAAGCAAAGCAACAAAACCGACTGATCAATCTTTTGACACATACAATAGATTGACAAACAACAAGAGCATCATAATACCAACTTTAATGTTATTTTAGCAAGAAAACGCAGAATCCTTAACAGCAGAAGTGATCGAAATTAAAGGCACAAAACGTGCTAATTTAAGAAAATTTTCCACAATAAACATTTTTGTGCCATTTTTCTTTACAAAATATTTTTGCGCCTGCTCACTAAAACGGTTTATAACAATAATAAAAGAAAAAAAAAAAACTTTATTTTTTTGTAACAATAATCTTAATAGAAAAATATTGCACTATAACGGGATTTTGGTGAAAATACTGCCTGCTAATAAACATTAGCAGTCGCAGTTGCCTGCCTAAATTCCAACGTTCCAATTGTCGCTTTGGAATGTTAAATGCGGTGAGTTCTGTTTATGGTCGTAGCAGAAGTAGCAGCGGTAGCAGCAATAGTTTTCGTATTCGTACTCGTTTGAAGGAGCACTCAGAGCAAGGATTAATACTGTATTGTGGTAAGTTGAAGCGATAATAAATACTTTGACTTCACTCTGTAGAATTGAATAGCCCTATATATATATATATATATGTATATATATATAAATATTTGTAAGGTATTTATGTATTTATCATTTTATAATTTGCAGTAAATGTGCTTCACCGACTTCTTAACAGGATTCCGTGAATATGCAAACTAGCTCAGCCTTCTAGGCAGGAAGAAACCTCATTAAACATTATTTATATTTGTAGCCCTTAAGCTTTCAATTGGATTGCTATCGATGTGATGATTGCAAATTTAATATTGAAAAGTTCTTCTAACTTTCAACCACGCGTTGCATATTCCTTATAAAATTTTAATTTTCCTTTTACCACCTTTGCATTCCTTATAACGTGCACAACTCGTCGTCTTGGCTTTACTTTATGCGTATATATATGTAACTCCCAGAACTATTTGGGATGAATCCATTTCCTATTATACCGATCGATAGGGAAACACTTTCTGCGTTCAACTTAAGCTTGTCTGTCTGTTTGTCCGTGTTGTGTTCTTGTGTTGAACCAATTCGCAAATTACGAGTTATAAATTTTGAAATTTTTCGCTAAGTAATAGTATTTGGAATTCCAAACGAAAATGTAAAGTACGAGTAAATCTTTTGGAACCCTTCTCACGCAACCATTCTCCCAAAGCTCCCGTGAATTGTACGGTCTTACATGAAATAGTATGTAATTTCTGGTATTTTATCGCAAAAACAAGTGAAGAATTTCACTAGGCGAAGTGGTATAAAGGATTTTACGATCGGGCTTGCCCAACTATATTGTATTTTTTTTTTTATCTCCGTGTAATAAATTGTTCTGTTTATATACTTTGTAAGAATTAATTCATAAATCGCACCTAAAAAGATTATAAAAACAAGCAAAAACACTACAGTGGAGCACGGTCGACTATTAAATATTCTACACTTACAATTAATTGTCTTATCAAAATAAAACGTTATGTGAGCAATGGTTGAAAAACCAGTCCAATTCGAGTTATTTGCACTAGCGTTCGTACCTGGGTCAAAATATAGGAAAGCACCAAATTTCATCAATATATTTAAAAAATTACGGCCTTTAAGATGAAGAACACAAGAAAACAAGATAGATGGACGGACGGACAACCTTATAGCGCAAAAACAAAAGGTTTCACACCCTCAAGTCTTACAACTTTATATATTTAATATATCCTTGTACAACAAGTGGCATAGTGTGAGTTGCAGATATTGTAGAGGACTTTCCGGCACTTAAAATGCTTAAAACGAAATCGGATTATTGCATTGAAATGCTCCTGGATAAAGGTATTCTTGAATTGTATTTCTTGGTCAAGTTATTTTGTACATGTTAAGGTGAAAATTAAAAGTTCGTATTGGAATGACTGAATTGGCATTATGTGTGCAGAGATTTTGCAGAGATGCATGATTTCGTTAGTAAAGAAAAAATAAGTAAGAGCACTATAGTCGGGCATGGTCGACCAATAGATCGATAAGTACATCATTTCGCGTAATCATTCGTTGTTTTTCCCGATATATGGACCCATTCTCATCTTCATTTTTGGCATATCGGAATTAATATTTTATAATAATGTTTCTGTGTGCGATGTAGTTATCGCCAAATTTGATGCGATTCAGTTTTATATCAAATTACTCTCATGAATCAATTTTCATTTTCATAGAATATCAATAGTTGGACAGTTTCGCCATATAAAGACTTATTCTCCATTAGAACTTTCCATATGAGATGAATAGATGAATAGATTTACATTGTCCATGCTCGATAACAATGACTTTTATCTCAAATTATTATTACGAGCAAATTTTCATCGAGAAATTTCGAAAATTAAACCCTTTGACTTCTATATTAAGATCCATTTTATATGATAGGGGGTTTTAAAAGTCGGCCCATATTATCTAAATTTTTTACACCAATTTAGAATAACGAAACAGTAGTACAACAATCTCTGACCATTGGAGTAACAGTTAAGGGGTGGGGAAAAATTTGAAAAACTAAAAATTTTAAATATGATCCTATGTCTGCGATAGCGTCAGAACTAAACAAGTAAATGTCATGTCAACATAAATTTAATGTGAATTCTATCTATAACTGGTATGAGTATACGTTAGAGATGCATAACTGTCTGTTGTTAAATGGCCGAGGATTGAAACGGGAAACTGGCTGTGATCGGGCACAAGGACGAAAATATTAACATAGGATAATGTATCAGCCTAAGATGGCAAACAGTGTTTACTTTAGTTTACTTTTATATCTCAGAGAATTTTAAGAATCGAGTTTTAATATCTTGTCGCTTTTGACAATTTCTTTTTTAGATGGATATATAATTTGGGATAATATCAATTTATATTTTGGAAGACCGTAAAACAGTTAGATAAAGTAGCGATGAAATGTAATTTCATCTGTCTGTAAATTTATCTTGTTTGTTCGGCTGTGCTGCAAGGCATAGCTCTGGTGTAGAAATGAACAGAAAGGTTAAGTAAAGCAGCAAAAATATACTAAATGCCCTCATATCTATCTAGGTAACGGAATGAATGTTTGAATGTTTGTGTGTAAACAGAATATGAAAATAAGCCATCAAAAACAAACATTTTTCTACATATATATATATATACATATATATATATATATATATATAAATATTTATATGCATGGATATATATGTGGATATATTCATACAACGGTATGAATCGACAGCATCCTATTTTAATAAGTATACAAAGGAGCGTCAACATTGTGCTTGCTTCCTTTACAGCAGGAAAATGTTAAATTTAAAGCATTTTTTTAAACTATTTACAGAAAGTAATTGTTGTACGAAAGTTTTTAATTACAGTAAAATTTGAAGAAAAATTAAGGAAACTGCTTTCTCTCACACACACATATATATATATATATATACATTCATATATGTATTATGTACGCACACATTCTCTCTTTTTTCGTTAATATGACGAACAGATACTGTCCTTTTTATTTTATATTTCTCTTGGTTCTAAATACTTGTAAATGCTTCCGGACGCTTGCTAATCCTTCCTAAGGCTTCAGTTGCATCCAAATATTTCACTTTGCTTCCCTTGTTTCCAAATTTTTAAAAATTGTTTCACAACTGTTCATTTGCGCGCGTAAATGAATGAGCGAATCCTTCTTTTCTTGCAATTATGTATGTGAGTAAAACAACAAAAAATGAAAAAATGCATCGCACGAAGGATAGAAAAATAAACATAAATAATGGGAAAGAGTTATAGAAAATAGGAGGCCTGTTAGAGAAAATTTGATTTTGATTTTTTTTTAAATAAATTTCACGAATATTTTTTATAGAAATATTTTTAGTAAAAATTAATTCTTTAGTTGAAAAACTAAATTTCTTGCTTGTTTCTCGTTCTCAATGCTTAGAAATATGGATTACGAGCTTCGTATTATAATTCTTTTTTTTTTTTTTTTTTTATCAGTATAAGAGTCTAAACATGTTGCGAGGACGCATGCAAGTTGTTCGCTTACTTTAATGCAACATACTTTGAACGTATACTCCTTTCAATGTTTTCTATGTCTCGAAACATATGTCGCTTTATAGCAATACATTTACTCTTTTATAAATATATGCCTATCCAATATTACATTTGCTTTGCTATGTATGTATTCTTATGTATGCAGTTCATAGAGTAGGAGCATATGTTGTTACTCATTTCATTTCAAGTTCTTCAATTTAAATAACTTTTCAATTGAACGTAAATTCCTAACATGGGTTATGGTTATTATATAACTCTTCGCATCTCCGAGTTTTCTTTTAATAATTAAGCGAGGAAATTAACATATTTTGCTTTGCTCTTCTGAAAAATTAACCAAAACAAATGCTTTAGAATTTCCCAGTATTCCTGATTACATAATGAAAAAGTTTGCCGTCGTTTGAGAGAAAATTTCCTAATACATAGTAGTAGTGTGCAAAACAGATAGGAAGACGTTGTGAGAGTTTTGCTATAAGCTAAAGTATCCTAAGACCATGTTAAAAAATATCCCATTACAGTCACAAGTTAACTTTTCCATGGGGAACATGTTGCAAACCTTTGAGCAATATGCCTACTATTGAGTAGACATCATAAATATCTATGTATTTTTGTTTTGCTTCTATATGTATCATCATGTAGTTAAACGCTTATATCTTTATTCTCTATTAATAGGTTATTAATAGGAACCATGCTTATTATTTAAGGATTAACGGTTACAAGTTTATTTTATCGAATCATAGTCCCCATATACACACACACACATATTATGCAAAGGCGCATACCTAACGGGAAATTTAATATATTGGGGATAGATTGTGGCTTCTTGTCACACAAATCAGCTGAAGGTCGTACATAGTGGACATAGCTAAGTTCTTCAATTTTGAAAAGAAGTGCAAAAGTCCACACAAGAACTTTTTTTATATAGTGCAATATAGTGGTGACGAACAATTTTGGCGCCTCCTAAATGAAATCGATGCTGCAAATGCAACGGCACTGAATTTAACAATTTGTCAAAAAGTTACTCATGGTTCATTTTTCTAGCCCACGGTAAGGTCTTGTTCCATAAAAATCATCGATTTTTCTTATACGTATGGCAATCAATTAAATGTTCCTTATTGGAGCTGTGTCCAATCGCGATTAAAGAGACAATTTAGTTAATTTGTCAGCGCAGTCACTCTTGGATTCCGCACAAGAAAGTTAATAGAAAATTCGGAAAATAAAGCGCTCGCGCCACAATGAGCTCACACTGTCATGGTGTTTGTAGTGCGACGTTGTAGGAGTAGTCAACTAGAAATACATATTTTTATACTCACTATCAAAGACGGGGATGTACTCATTTTTTCATAATTTTTACAATGTCTGTCCGTCTCAAGGCTACTGTAAACATTCTACTGGCCGCAAAAATGAAGTTATCGATCGCAAATTTGGCAGCAATATTGGGAGTTCTTGTATGCGAGCTGATATTGAAAATGGGCAAAAACGCTCGGAGGACACGCCTACAGTGCTATGCAAAGTGAGGACGCTTACGTTTTTCAAAAGGAATAAAAAAATTGTTCTTTTTGCCTCTTTATAATCATAAACTGCAATAGCTAAACAAACAAAATTTTGAACATATATTCCATGATCGATGTTCTAGTGCCTTTATAAAAATGGGAAAAATTGGATGCGCTTGTCATAATTTCATTGCTTTCAAAACCTTAATAATGCATAGAAGAAAGTTTTGAAAAATATACAAATTCTTGGCCAAATTCGGAATGAACCTAAGCATATCCACCGCTCATCTGTCCATCTGTCTTTCTGATATGTTCCGGTTCGCAAACTTACAAGGGAATTTGGAAAGGACCCACCTACCACACCACTAAACCCCTACATACCTGCACAACAAAGACTCCAAACTGTAAATTAATACCAAAACATTCCTACTCTACTTGGAAAATTGCAGGCGTTCTTTTTTTTTTTTTTTGCTTTAAATTATTCGGCGCTTGTGACTGAACAATTCGGTAGAGATAGGTAGATTAACAACTTAAATGTTAAGTACTCACAGAGAGAGAATTTCAAAACTGCATTTTAGAGAAAACGTATAATGCGGTTGACGATCAATTTGTACTCTCTACAGATCATAACATTATATATTTAGTTGATAGCTGTCAACCAAACTTGAGAATGAGTGTCATTCTGCCTCAGTATTCTCCCTCTTTGCGGCCTTGATAAAAAACTGCTATACTTTAATTAGTTAGTTAGTTAGCACGTCCAAGTGAGTCTCGTGACGCGAACTTGCACGAAATTCGATACTAAACTAAAATTTGAGATCACTTTTGGAGCCGCTGTTTGGTTGCCATTTTTGATATCACTTTTTGATCCCAGCATAATTATATAAGAAGATTCTATTCACTAAATCTGAACAAATGATGCATCTAATCCTGGCTGATTATAAGCATCTTCAGGGCTAAATTTTTGTTGAGTTGTCAGATTGTTGGATCATGTAGCTTTAAAATAGATTTAAACGGCTTCTATACGTCAATGTCTATGCATAGCTCCTATGTAGTTATTATACATCATACTATACAACGATTGCGGTGCCAATATATGCAACACCAGAAGCGGTTGAGACAGAATTACTCTCTCTTACACCAATCGATCAGGTATCACTTTCTAAATCGGTCTAACCTTGTCCGCCCGTCCGACCATCTTATTTTCTTGTGTTCATTTTACATGTCGCAGTTTTGATGAAATTTAGTCCATTGACGTCTTTGGCGCCAGGACTAATGCTACTAATGAAAATGGTTCAGATCGGACCACTTCGCATATAACGCCTCGATTTGAATACTCGTTATATGAATAACTGTATTAAGCGAAGTAGTGTTAGGTGTAAAATGCTCGGCCTTGGCCTGCTATAGTGCTTTCGCCTGTTATATCCGTAATTGTGATTATTATTGCATAATTATTATTAGTAATTAATGGATTAAATTAAACCAAACTTTTTGATCCCACTTTTTGATTCCCCTTTTCTAAGCTTGCACAATTTTAATGCATTTTTGTATCCGTACTAAGAAACTGAGTGTATTAAGTGTTTTCAAAAATGTTGGACATTTTTTCACTTGAAAAGTGCTTTATTGTGGAAAATTAGTACAATATATATTAATCTAAATACTTTCCCATTAATCTCTATAAAATTTTACTATATTGTTGGCAATATGGGCATATCATGTCGAAAGAATTTATATTGGTTTGGCAGCGATCCGCTGACCGACCCATTTTCGCACAAGCCATGCTACACAGATCTAAGCAAGTGGCAGAACTTCCCATTCGAGCTAGAACAGTGTATACTGGAGAATTCTTGCAACAAGTGGCATTTTCAGTCAATTCGTGTCACCACTTTCAACCAAAACCGACAATTGGGATACGATAGAGCAGCATCCCCACAAGCCTCTGAACATTTTTGGTGGGCTTCGGTAGCAGATTTTCTCAAACAAACAACAAAAGTAACGAATTTGAAAGAAGAAGAATTTCGAGCGCTCCATGCTTAGCTTCGGCTCACACTGAACAACTCAATTTTATTAAATGCGAAACTCTTATTTTATGTAGAGGAAGGTCATAACCACCGAATTCAACCGTTATTTACACTAGTATTTCCCATTTATTTAGCAGAAGACGCCGATCGAAATTTTTACAAACACCTAACACATTAAAAGGAAATTAAGCGGCTTGTAACAACTTAAAATCGTTAATTAAAAAAATTGGCATGTTTGGCTTTGATTTAACCGAACTCAGCCGCTTCCCTTTTTATGTTACAAACAAAAAAGCAGATGAAAATGTCAAACTTCAATTCAAAATCAAATTTTTGGCAATTGGCAGTAGGTGCGAGGAGATGGGTTGTTTTCGGAATAGAAAATTTTGGAGGGTGCTTTCTATGTTAGCTGTGCTTGTGTCTTCGCATTGTAAGCCCATATAATATATTCTCCATGATCTGGCTTGCCTGTAATAGTTAGGAACTGTCTACATTACACGTGAATGTTCACGATTCTGTAAGCATGAGAACGTCCGATTAACTGTAAGAATTCATATATACCTACCTCTCTGTTTACAAGGTAAATACGTTCTCAAAAAACATTCGTGTAAAAAAGGTTCGTATAAAAAAGATATTGCTTAAATAGAAAAATAGTAGATTGGTTCCAAACCTAAAGAAACAGCTGATAAGCACAATGAATAATATTAAAAGGTTCTTATTAGAATTCGCTCACGGATTTACTTCGTGCTTGCATACCCTAATTCATTAAATATATTATAAAAAAAAAAATTATACCTAGCAAAGGCAAACTAAACTGCTTAAAAAATGCATTATGTCTTTACTATAAGCGTATGTCGGGTAATCCCATTCATGCAGGCATATAATCGGGATAATCTAACTGAATTGCGAAAAAGTTACAATGCCTGGTTGTGAGGAGCGAGAATGAAAAAATTCATCAAAAAAATTTATAAAAAAGTTTATGGCATATTCAAAACTGTGTTAAAACAAAACAATTCGAGCCAAAGTTAAACCAAATGTCGTGTAAAAAAAGAATTAGGTGTACATAAAAAATGATTCTAAATCGATCGGCATAAAAAAAGTTGTGTTTACCGTAAATCTTTTTGGGTATTACTGTACCACAGGTGGTGTAGGGTATAAAAAGTCGCATAAGGAGCGAAAAACTTATAGCAGCCCTTATCAGTTGGTTATAGTCAATTCGCAATATTGCTCAGTGGCAAGTGTTCACATGAGAGAACATCCTTGGAAAGAGTGCGTCTTGTGGTTTTATACGTTCATCTTTTGTGTAATGTGAAAATTTATAAAGAGACTTGCACTCTCTTCTAACTCAGAACTAAACGCTTTTATTAAGTGGGAGACGGCTCCTTACTGCTTAGTTCGATGCCCTTTTCTATAGGTGTACATATATTGTAAGGGTCTTTGTATATATTGTAAGGGCATGCTTGGGATTCGTTCGGCAAGTTGCAATGATCCGTCCGTAAAAGAAGGACATGATGCGTGATTGCTGCACGCAAAAATTTAAATAAGAAAAAAGCTTATTTTTTTGATTTTGTGTCTTTTGTGCGTCGTTATTGTTCTTCACTTTCTCTTATTATTCTTGTTGCTTCAGCAGATCATGGCGAATTTAAATTTTCAACAACCCCCACGAAGCATATCAAATGCCTCTCTGACGGGCAGAACTACAGGCGGTTTTGGTGGTAGCTCGTTATCTGGTCATGTAACACCTACGTCAGGCATGTTTCCAAGCGGTAAATATCCTACATGTAAATAATTTCTAATTATACACAATTATTACGTTATATAAAAATTGGGATTTTTTTGCATTATTTAAAAAAAAATAATAATGATGATAAAAATAAAAAAACAAAAAAACGGAAAATTAGGGGGAGCGAGTTATGGTCAAACGCAACAACCTCAATTATCACCGAATCGAAATGCGCAACTGTCGGTTGCCGGTCCTGCATTATCAAGTGGCAGTCGTGGAGTTTTCAATCAAAGGCCATACGTCGAGAGACGTATGCAGGGATTAGGGGGACCTATGGTATGTTTTGTTTTTTATTGCGAATTCTTAGTACATTTTTCTCTAGTTTCATGGAATTTTTCTAGTCGAATATGGGCAATTTTATGCAAGCGAGTCGCGGTTACGGCACAACAACCAGTGGTGGCGGTTCCGCAGCTGGTCCAATAAATAATTTCCATAATGTATTTGGCGGTAGCGGGGATACAACAACGCCGGCCTTACTCGATCCCTCGGAGTTTCCATCTCTGACGAATGCACGCGGCCAGAATGATCAATCACTGCCTCAGACGAATCCCCTCCAGCCGCCGGGCAGCAAACCTTATGGTAATTTCTTTACCTCTTGTGAGTTTATAAACAAAATAAATTTTCTCTTTGTTTATTTTCGTTTTTTAATATTGTTTTTTACTATTCATTCATTACGTTATAATTTATTTATTGATTTATTTATTTATTTTATTTGTTTTAAATGCATCATAACTTTATTTCTCTCATTGTGTCAATTCAGTATTTTAGCCTTTTTTTCTTTTCATAACCGATAGGGGACTCGCGATAGTAGTTTAGTATTATTCACAATATTGCATTGTTAAGCATTGCAATCCAATATTGTGAATAAATGCGAATTTGATGCCATATGAGAGTAATTAAATGAGCGACTTCGAATTTCGTGCCATATGAGAGTAATTAAATGAGCGGGCTGCTCTGGGGACTCGCGACTGTACTTTAGTGTTATTCACAATTCTGCATTGTGCGGACACACAGGGATGTATCATTGAATAATGATCAATTTAAAAAAAAAAAAAAAAACAAAGAGCAAAATGGCAAAGTTTACTTGTTTTTGATGTTTTTTTGTTTGAAAACCAATATTGAGTTTTTCTCCCTTTTCTCTTTTTTTATACAATTCGATCCAATTGTATTTTTCATTTAATCAGGGAGGGACAATTATGTGAAAATTTGTGTGTGAAAATCTTATCAAAGTAATATCACTAAGCAGGGACTGGGAAAGGATATAAAATATTTCACCTTTTTTCACCTTCTATCATAAATCTTCCAAATGAGAGGAGAACATTTTCAACTTTAAATTGTCTCGATTTTCGTATTCGTAGCTAAAAATTACTAAGAGCAACTAAGGCATCTATCCAAGTCATATCGATACCGCAAACATGAGCTTGCATCCACTTTAAAAGTACCATTCAATCACAGTCTTCAAAATGATGAATTCATTAATTCGAATTATTATGATCGGCCCAAAGATAAAAAATTATAATAATGAAATATTCATTAATATTAACAAACTGTTTTGTTTTGGCCGTTATTGCTCAATTACTCATATAAAAAAAAACATGTACAACTTTTTTGTTGCCGTTAGAACATTTACATTTAAAATAAGTTTTTATTCCTCATCATCATCATCATCATCATCACCATTATTATTATTTGTTTGTGTTTTTAAAGGATCGAGAATACTCTGTTCTCATCCTTTTCATCATCTTAAGCCTAAAGCATCAAATTTTTATTTATGTAAATTTTTGCTTATTACAAAATTAATATTGTTAGCAATGTCGTAAACATAGTTTTTTATTTCCACATATACATTTTTTAATTATTTTTCAATTTGTTGAACTACCTTATGGGTTATGATTTTGTAAAGTTGAACTTTTTCGGATAATGAAATGCGTTACTTACTCGTTTCCATTTATATTTGCTGCTGTTTCGCATATAGTTGGCATGGTAAAACAACCGACTTCGGAGCAATCGGAGTTTACAATGTCCAATGAAGATTTCCCTGCGCTACCTGGCACTCAAAACTCAGATGGCACAACGAACTCGGGAGCACTAACAGATACGAACAATCTGGACGGCACGGAAAAAACGATGAATTCAATTGTAGCGAATAGCGGGTTAGGAGCTGTGGGCAGTGGTACAGTGGGTTCGTCAAGCGGAAGCGGCAGCAGTGGTGGCGGTGCCGTCGGTGTGTCGAGCAGTGCAGCGCCCGGTAATAGTGGTGTAATCGGGGGCGGTTTGGTTTCTGGAGCAACGGGTGTGAGTAGCGGTAGTGGTAGTGGGGGTTCAATCGGTAGTGGTAACATCGTTGAACAGCAACAACAGCAGCAGCAGCAGCAGCAGCAACAACAACAAAAGCATCCGAACGATAATTCCAGCAATGATAAACTTATTAAAAGCGGTGTGCAAACATCCCCAGATGGTACGACAGAAATAATTTCTCTTCGTTTGTGTTAGAATGCGTACTCGTCTTGAGTATAATTTTTAATCTTTTTTTTTTTTTTTTTTTCTGCTACCTTCTAGGCAAAGTCACAAATATCCCAGCGAGTATGGTAAACAATCAATTTGGTATGGTTGGTTTGTTAACATTTATACGAGCCGCAGAATCCGATCCAAATCTGGTAACTTTAGCGTTAGGCACTGATTTGACGGGTTTAGGTTTAAATCTAAATTCTCAAGAAAGTTTACATCCAACATTCGCCGGGCCGTTTGCAGACCATCCATGCAGGTTAGTTAATCGTAATAATAATTAGCAGATTATCAAGTTTTTCTTTTCGTTTTTTTTTTTTTATATCCTTACTTATTTGTTTTTGTATTTTATTTGTATAAGTTACAAGTCTGCTTTATTTATTTAGTTTTGTAATATTTGCAACTGTGTGTGTGTTTTTTTTTTTTTTTCATATTTAGAGCACAAGATGTTGAATACAATGTGCCACCCGAATATTTGATCAATTTTGCGATCAGAGATAAATTATCATCACCTCTCCTAAAAAAGCTGCAAGAAGATCTATTATTTTTCTTATTCTATACGAATATTGGCGATATCATGCAACTTATGGCTGCTGCCGAACTGTAATTATATTTGAATTTAATTTGCACATTTGCGCTCATGTTTCATTTAATTTATATTAGGCATAGTCGTGAGTGGAGATATCATATAGAAGAGAAAATTTGGATAACTCGAATTCCTGGCCTAAATCAATACGAAAAAAATGGTACAAAAGAACGTGGCACCTTCTATTATTTCGATGCCCAGAGTTGGAAACGTTTATCTAAGGTTTTCCAAATCGATCCTGAAAAATTAGATAAATGCCCCAATTTAAGTGCGTTTATGAACATAAATGGACAGTCTGTATAATATTAATAAAATCAACAAATTCTTAAAAAACAAATCCAAAAAAATCTTTAAAACAAGCATTAAAACTTCCTTTCCTTTTTTGTATTTTTTTTTTTTTTTTTGTTTTTTTTTGTTTTCTTCTTTTACTTCATTTGACTTATTAATTAAGGAGAAAGTAAAAATTAAATAGAGAGCAACGGAATAACTTTTAAAAAAAGAAATATAAATATTATGTAGATTAATGTTCACATTTTTGGAATACAACAACAAAAAGCCAAGTTCACTTATTTTTGTGTATTAAGAAATAAAATAAGTAGATTAAATTTTAAAAAAAAATTCTAACAAAAAGTTAATATTTATATTGAAATGTTGAAGGATCACGCATATTAACATTTAATATTCATCCTAATAACTTTTGAAAGGTATCTTGGGTTGTGCTTGCTACAAATTAAAAAAAAAGGTTAAATGGCTCGAAAATGTCAACACTTCATCGCAAATAAATTTCCAAGAGGCAAGAAGATCATAGCGAATAAACAAATATATACATTGAGCATTTAAATTCACAAAAGCCCGAAAGGTCCTCGCCAAGTTACTTTCTCTTGACTCGGATATACTCGGATATACTACACAAAGTTCTTTCATACAACTTCCCATTACAAAACAATCTATGTTACTCTTACAAAGGAATGGTTGTAAAAACCACTGGAAAATTTAACGATTTTTCTAATAGCAAGAGATAGTGAGAGGAAGAGAGAGACGGAAAATGGGAGCATTCGCAAGCAGGCCGATAATGATTAATTGTAAAATTAAAAATGTGAAATCAAAGGACAGAGAGGGCAGAGAGATTTGTTAGAACCATTTAATCATATAATTTTCACTAAGCAGTTTAGACGCATAGTCGCAATAGAAAAGCAATTTATTTAGCTGACCAACGAGCAAGGTAGCTCCCTTTATTAAAGTTAAAAATAAACATTATTAGCTCCAGGGGTAAATCAAATCTGCCAACAATGGTTTGGAGAATTTTGGGAATCTTATGCCAGCCAATGAATGATAAATTTATAAACAATCTTAATTAAGTTCACGCAAATTCTCTATAGAAAGCATATAGTCACTTCGCCTTTATCTCCGAAATTTAGCATTTTTGTACATAGTAAATATTAAAGTTATACAACATACGACTGGATTTACTGATCCCGAATCTTATGCTAATCAAGAATACACAAATATATACCTTGAGGACTTTTCCGAAAGTACGAATATAGTATACTGATTTGTTTTCTTTATATTCGTATTTTTAACTTTGTCTTTTGGCTAAGTGTTTAAGTTGCTTTCATTTCCAACAATTTCTAAAGGTCTCTTTTTATGGTTCACCCGGTGTAGCATCCGTAGAGCCCGTCGCAGAACGATTGAAGTGATAATGATTTGTAAATAGAAAGATGCCTGACTCCTCGAGTCTCTTTCCTTCAGCCAAATACATCCAGCAGGAAGATTTCCATCCACGTTGCAGAGTGTTCAAAAACATTTATAAACATTTATATTAATTCAGTTTCAATATGGTTTTTATTTTGTAATGCATTAAAAAACTGTTTAAAGAAAAAACATTATTGCGTAACTTTTATTGTTCATTTTTTTAAAAACATCAAACTTGTTCAGTAGGACTTTTAGTAGAAAAAAGAGATTAACGCAAAAATATCGGGATGAAGTGAAGTACTGGTAAGTAGCTTGTGAAAGAAGGGTATATAAGTAGAATATTTGCGGAAAGCAGAGCCAGTCGAGTCAAGAGAATTGAAGCATAATGTGCCAAGACAAGGACAAGACATATGTGACGGATGTGGCATACTATGATTCGTGCCCCTGGCTAACGAATCGTCTTTTATCCATTTTAGATGGGTTTTAAAGTTTGCCTGTATTCTCAAAAATCATTCAGGATTGTCTTATTAAATTTTGCCCATTATCGAGAATGTACCAAGGGTACGCGTCCATACATGAATAACAAACATTTCATGACAGCGAATGTGTGCAGAGTTTATGAATATTTTCGTTTCTCTTCAACGCCTTAAGGTGACCGTCGGCTTTAATTTTTGAATTGGAAACTTTGCTATCCTCATCCATTTTACGTTTCCGTGCACTTATTGAAACGCCTTTTATTTTGGATTCTTCCTTTACAATGGTTTCGGTAAAACTGCAATTATATAATTAATTTATATCCAATTGAATGCTTTTTTTTGTTTTTCATCCGTGCAAGTCGCCTTAGCGGTTTCAACGTTACAGCACCAACTTCCATTCATTATTCAATAAATTAATTTGGCGTGGAGTTAATCTCTTTAGCAGTTGCCCCATTAACAATTCAGTTTATCAGAATTCAGTATTAGCGACATCAGCGGCTTCAATGCTAGGTTGATTACTTAATTAAATCGCTAGCCAACCGAATTGGAATTTAGTCGATTTGTAGCACTTACTTAATTAATAGTTCATTGCTAGCGCAAGATTCCTCAATGACTTCAAGGTTACTGCAATTAATCAAGCAATTGATTAAATAAAAATTGTGCTTAATTTAATTTTTAATTATTTACTTAATTACGAGTTCGTCTTTTACGAATCTTTGATTGCCTATTCCGGTAATACTGCAAACGTTTTAATTAACATATTAAACTTGCATTAGCTTTTAAACTTTCTTGGTAAACTTACTTGCTAATAACTTTGAATTGCATTTAGCCCAATTTGATCGGATTGAGAAATAAATTGTATTTCATTGTTGAGATTTTGAAATTCTTGCTGACTGGCACGATATTGTTCCGCTAAAACTTTTATTCTGCGAAAATGAAAGCAAGAAAGAACGGAAATCCAATAAATCTTTGAAAAGTTCCCGTTATCTTACATTTTCTTTTTTTTTTTTTTGGCGTTTTAGTCATTTCAATATTAGGATTGCGTAGTGTTTGGTTCTCTTCATTGTTTTTGTTTAACGCTTCCGTAATTTCCTTCAAGGATCTTTCAAATCCCAAATGACTTCCTATCGTTTATCGTCGGCTCCTTCGAGTATCTCTTGATCCCGGCACATTTTCATCACTTTATCCCTGCAAATGACAAACAGCGATTTTACTATTTTTGCTTTTTCCAAATTGCTTACCGACTATACTTCCAAAATTATTATTATTAGGTTCTCTCTGTCATCGTTTCGAAATTATTCGCTTATGCCTTCAATACGCGTTCCACTCGTCTTTGTAGGAAGGGAGTTTTGCTATATGCATCTGAAAAAAAAAATATCTTTTTGGATTCATACAGTTGTCTTTTAAGAATTTCTTGCTACCACGATTTTTGCATGAATCCTCCAAGGTGTCAAAATTGAACCTATTTTCTACTAATAATCGTATGCAATCAACATGCAATTGATTCGATTCAATTTTTAAATAAATTAAAAAACATTCCTCAATCTCACTTTCGTTCTTTTTTCTTTTATACTTTTGCGAATTTGTCGGATATCATTTGGAAAGAATCCGGATGTGGAACTTAATATGTGGAAAGAATTCGGATATGCAACTTAATTTATGGAAAGAACCCGGATATGGAAGTTAATTTGTGGAAAGAACCCAGAGATGGAACTAATATGTGGAAAAAAAGGAAATAAAAGTTTGGGAAAAATATTATATTTTTTTTTAGCTAAAAAGTGTTTGTTCATTTTTCTACTTATTATGCATTATTTACAAGAGAATTAAATAACAGTAACATTGTTTCAGAGAGAAACAGCTGTAGAATGTATAGAAAGTGATGCCTGGTAGTTGAATTCGGAAGGAAAAGCAATTGTCGAGAATGCCTGGTAATTGAATTCGAAATGAGAAACAGCTGTAGAGAAAGCCTGGTAGTTAAATTTGAAATGAGAAACTGAAATGAAAGAGAGAAATGATTTAATATTGTATAACGCGGATTTAAAATTTGTATTCATGAAATATAAAACCAAACTTCTTCTCAAGCGTAAGTTATGCAAAAAACAAAAAAAATATTGTTTGTGTACTTTTCAATTAATATGCATAAAAAAGTGCATTTTATGCTCGAGAGGATTGTGAAGGACTGCGAACACTCGCTTGATAAATCAAAGTTCGACTGGCATATACCGCTGCACTATTAAAAATATCATAGTTCTTTTTATTTTATTTTAATTTTATTTATTTATTTTTTTTACTTTAATAGATCTTTGATAGGAGATGATTTTGTTTGTATGAACTTTATCAACAATCATAAATAAACGAATAGCAGTTTAATTTTTATAGCAATTTGACGGCATCTTTATGAGTTCGGCCTGTAGCAGCATATGATTTGTTGGCCTTGTCCAAGATTATATACAAATCTTCCGTGAGATCGCTTATGTTGGCGTATTCATCCTTATTAAGTTTTGTATGAATTTAATAAACTAAGAAACAGAATAAGAAACTGGATGCTTTATTAATTCAAAATATTCCGGATGGAACCTACGTACACTCAATTTCCATAACGAGGTACCTAATAGCGAACAAGTCGCCACTGGATGCTCTGAATGGCGAGGTGCGTTATACTGGTTAGAACCTTTGACCGTCGCATCATTTTAGTTTTATTTGAATCGAGTTTAATTGGTTTTTGGATAAAGAGTTTCTTCAAAGTTTTAGCGTCTCTATAGATCTGAGAGCCAGGCTTGTTAAATTGACAAGCCTTCTCTGTCATTTGAAGCCAATCATGTTCCATTTCTATTAAACTTGAATAAGCATTTGTTTAAATTTTGGTGGCTATTATGTATAATTAAATAAATTCTATAAAATTCTACTTATCAAAAAAAGAAAGAAAAGTGTACAATTTTTTCTTACATCTTAATATGAAAAAAAAAAGAAAAAGAAAGTATAAACTATTCTTTTGAAGTTAAACAATAAGTAAGTAACCAAATTTTACTTTTATTTCAAAATAAGGCAGCCTTGCGCACCAAAACCATATTAAACTTGATTAAACTTGGTTAAACATTTCAAAATTATGCAGCCTTTCGCATCAAAACCATATTAAACTTGATTAAACTTGATTAAACATTTCTAAACATTTATAAACATTTCAAATTTATGCAGCCTTGCCCATCAGAACCGTATTAAACTTGATTATACTTGATTAAACATTTCTAAACACTTCAAAATTACACAGCCTTGCGCATCAAAAATATATTAAACTTGATTAAACCGAAAATTGGGGTATGATGGAGCAACATCACAACAAGATTCTAAACGTGTCTGGTGGGCTTCGGCAGAAAATTTCTTCAAATTAAACAACGAAAGTAGTAAAATTTCAAAATGCAATTATGAGCGCTTCAATTAACTATGAAAAAATGTTAAAAATATTAAATATTGAATTTATTCATCCGTATTACGATGTTTATAGTGAGACGTTCTGCAATTAACTAAATTTACCGGAATTTTCAGCCACATTAGCCCTCCCTTTTTCTTGTCTCTTTTTGATATACTCAGCCATCTAATACAGAAACTCTAGGAGATTAAAATAAAAGACTCTTAAAAAGCAGAAAGCAAACACTAAAAACTACATCAGGGATATATAGAGAGAGAGAGAGAGAGAACCGATCGAATAATTTACGTTTTAAAAATCCTTCTATAAGCCTAGCCTTCTTGATATGGCATTATCCTGAGTATTATGTTAAAAACATGATTTATGCTAAACCTGGTCAGAGGTAAAAAAAGAGAATATTGTACCTCAAATGGCAAACAAGTGCAGGGGAGAGTAATTTATTATATGAATTTTGCAGAGAACGAAAGAGATGAGAATCGGATGGTGCAATTGCAGTTACCGTTTTGAACCAAACCATAGCAACCGTCTTGTTTTTTAATTTACCCATTTATTTGTTATGGAGTAGGCATACACGGGTGCCATCTGCTATATTGTGAATAACAATATTGCAAATAAGAAGAAGCACAAATATATTTTGATTATATGTAGAAAACTAGATTTCATTTGGAGAAGTCGAATTTTGTTTTCAACATTTTAGCGAGGCATCCATAAGAAAAGTACAGCAAGTGGATGAAAAATCATTATGGATCAATTAACGCCCACAAAATTATCTAATATATACATATCTGCATATATCTGCTCAATCTCTTTTATCATAAATCAATAAATAATATTAGCTTTCTTATTGTAATTTTTCATAAAATTGTTGTTTACGTTTACGTTGATTTCTTTATTTCTGGCTTTACAACCATACGTTTTTGTTTACATTTCATTGTGAAACAATATGGTAGCACGGCCGTCCTTCGTGTTTACTAGTTGGGACTTTTTAGCCCGAAAACGAAAGTGAGGCGTCATTGTGTGTGGCGCCTTAATGTTCACATTGTACCTTTTTTATGCAACATTACGAATCTTCGGTTGTTGATTTACAGACCAAGAAAAATAAATTAATGTAGAATGTTAAATGAGCTATGGAATTTATTATGAGAAATTAAAATAACTGGCAATGAGTACAAATGGTTTAAGTATATTTCAAGGAGGGGGACCTATACAGGTGAATACGAGTTTAGAACGTTTAGAAGAAGAGGCTTTAGAAGATCAAAAGAGACGTCATGAAGAAGTAAGCATAAAAAAATTGTAGATAAAATTAATTATAATATTTTAGCTTATTTCAGTTGGGCAACTTACTTCAGAATGCTTTCGACGATTTAGAAGACGATGAAAGTACAATTGATTCGACCACAAATTTCCAGAGCGATTTAATTGATCAACCTGTGCTCATCATTCGTGATGATGTTGGGAATCAAGATCATGTCGTTTCTGAAGCGGAGATTCATCGTTTAAAAGTAACGCTAGAATCGCGTTCTAGGGAATTTGAACATTGTCAGAAGCTATTAAATGATGAGTACAACAAAACTGATGAATTGAAAAAACGTTTAGCTATTGCTGAAGCAGAATTAGATCGCACCTTGGCGACTAAAAATAATACGCATGAGCTATTGGTGGAAAGTAAAGAAAAATGTTCGAATTTGGAGAATACTATTAACAAAATGCGTGCTGAACGTAAAACTTTAGAGGCGGAAAACAATTCTCTTTTGGGAAAATTAGAAACTTGCCAGACATTGTTGGCGGACGTTCAACGTAAATATGATATGGTCGAAAGGGATCAAAACAAACATAATGAGCATAATGCTGAATTAAAGCGGAAACAAATGGAAGATCGTCATCGGGCTGAACTGGAGCTACTGAAGCAGCAAATGGAACAAACGGCTGATAAATTCGATAAAAAGGCAAATGAGTTAGAAAGCATGAATGCTCGCTATCAGGTGAAATAAATTGAGATAATCATTTATCATTTCCACCAATTAATCATCATTAATCATGGGTCGGGGGTATTTTTATGGGTCGGGGAGATTGTTTATTATGGTCGAGGGAATTTTTAACATGGTCGAGGATATTTGCATTTAATGAAAGGAACTCTGTGCTTTCCCCATTCTAAACGAATAACGTAGAATCGAAAAAACTTCTATTATATTATTATTATTGTTGCAATTTATTTAGAACATACATGTACATATATAAATATATAGATTGTATATAACCATTGCAGGCTTTGCAAAGTAGCCACGAAATTATGATTTGCGATAAAGCCAGCAAAATTAATGACTTGAGTAGAGCTTTGGATGCAGCTCAAAAGCGTTATGAAGACCTTCTAGCCAGACCGGATTATTATCAAGAAAATGTTAACCTTCAAAAATTGGTCACTAGGTTGGAAGAGCAAATAGTGGTTATGGAGCGAACTATAAAAGGGCTAAAAGAACGCCTTGATGCTACAACAGCTGAACTTGATGTTATGGACAGTTTACTTCATCAGCATAATCAGGAAGATTCTCCGCGACCACTTAGTCAAGTTCAGGGAGGTTTGATAGGCAGTACACCTCTCAACACAGTGGAGCGTGTTGGTAGCCTGAAAGACGAACTTTATCGGGCGTTGGCTAATTTAAAGGCAAAGCGTGATGAAGTACGCAAACTACAACAGACGTTGCAAGAGAAACACGCTGAGATAAATAGCCTGAGACAAGAAGAAAACGAAAACTTAGTACAGATTAATACATTAAAGGAAGAAAATATACGCATGGAAAATCGCTTCAAAATATTACAGGAAGAATATGAATCATTGAAGAACGCTCAACACCAACGGCAAGACAATCAAGGGGAATGTCTTAAAAAAGATTTACAAAATTTACAAACGCAATACGAAGCCTTAAAAACTGAAAAAGATTTACTGAATGAAGAAAAAGCCCAACAGGAAAAAGAACTTAAATGTTTAGATGCTTCCTTAAAAAATGTACAAGTTGATCTCGAAGAGTTGAGGCAGGAACATGAGAGTCTTAAAAGAAACTATGAACAGTTGCTTTCCGAAAATAAAAATCTTCAGCGAAATTCAACCACCGACAGTATGTGCATGGAGTTGGAAAAACATAAATTACTTCTAAAGGATGCGCAGTCTGAACGTGATCGTCTGAAGAACCTCTACGTAGAAATATCAAACGCCAAGGGTGCTTTGAACTTTGAATTACAAAAATTCCTAAAATCCGATCAAACTAAAGAACTACAAGAGGAGAAAGAAAAGGTGGCAAATTTACAAAGGTCATTACATTTAATGGAAGTGAAAACTTCAGAACTGGCCAAGATATTGGAGACAGAAAAATTGTGCCATGAACGTGAGCTATCAACGTTGAGAGATAAAATGGAAAAAGCTCATTCTGAGAGCAAGAAAGAAGAATTCAATGGCTGTGCCAAGTGTATGGACTACGTGGCTGAAATAACAAAGTTCGAAATCCAAAATCTTAAGTTAATTAATGTCAACTCTGTATCGAAGAAAGAGATTGACGATCTCACGCAAGAATTAGAAGCCTCTAAAGCACACATCGCGGAACTTAATGAACAATTGAAATTAAGCAAACAACAGGAAATACTTATTAAAGAATTGAAAATTAAAGCCACACAATTCGAAGAATATATAAAAAGCCAAAGCAGTTCCTCGGAGCAATCGCCCCCACCGCACACTAATCATCCGAAACGTCAATTCAGTGATAAAAGCGTCGTTACTTCGCCGGAGCTAGAGCGCAGCGAAATCAAGAGAATCGAGGCTCGATTGCGTGATGAAATGGCCAAAATCTTCGTGACTAAGTTAAAGAAATTTCAAATTAAAATTCAACAAACTTTAGAACAAAATCAAATTTTACAGAGAGAATATGAATATATGAATGTTGAGTTGCAGCAACGTAAACTTGAGGTGGATTTGCTGAAACAAGCCGCATTAGCGGAGAGGCAGGAAATGAATGAAATTCTTAAACACAAGACTGACGAATGTAATAAGATGTTAGAAAAGCAAAGCATTCTTTTGCAAGAATTTCGGGAGGAATTGCACGCAAAAAAGCAGAAAATCAAAGATTTACTCAGGGAATCAACAGAACGTCAAGCACAAATTGAAGCCGAACGTCAATCAATGAAGGCAGTCATGAAACAATGGGAGGAACAACGTAAAATTGTTGATGACGTAGAGCAAGAGTGGAAAAATAAATTTAAGGAACTGCAAGAGGCTCATCAAACTATAATCGAGAGCTGGAAGAGCAAACATCGTTCAGCAGAGAAAATAGCTCGCAATTATAAGGTGATTGATTGTCATATATACAAAAAAAATTATTAAATTTTTTAATAAACTTTTTACATTTCAGCGCTATTCTGAAGATAAAGAAGCTCATATGCTCAAGGAATACGACCGGTTGAAGCGCGATTACGATATCCAAGTAGCGCAGATAAAACGAGAGGCTTATTTAAAGGCCCAAAATCATCATCAAGTTTGTGAATCAGTCGATAGGCGAGTTTTGTCAACCAACAACAATAATAATAATAGTAAAAATAAAGAAAATAATAATTCGAATTAATGTTCATAAATATGCATTTTTTACTTTTTAACTTTTAATATTTTTAATTGTAATTTCGTTTTTATATATATATGTGTATGTAAATGAAATGGATTTGTTGTTAATTCTCCATCATAAAATATTGTAATTATTATTTCCGTCTATTAAATGATTTGTACAAGAGTTTAAAAAACAAGAAATTTTATAATTTTCCACACGACATGCAATTCTTACTTACAATATAAGGCATATATTAATTTATAAATTGATATAAATATGTTGCGGGATTATCTAAACGATAACTTCGCATTGATTCACTTAATCAATCAGTCAATCACTATGCGTATATTGTATAAAATCTCAAGTGAGATAGATATACCTAAGAAATTTCACAAAGGTTACGTTGTGTTAATAAGAAAGAGTTAATCATTCTTTACAAAAGGAAAGAAACGTTAGATGTTATCTTCCGATGCTTCCACACCATATCCCATATCCCATTTTAGATAAAAATCAATTTTCAAAGCAGGCCCATATCTGGTTATAAGTGAATGAAGGTCTTGTCAAAATGGTCTAGGAGCTAAGTAGTCCTTTACTGATTCACGTAAAGAAGGATTGCAGAGATAATCCTCCGACAATGATATTTTAGCACGCATTGAACACTCAACCAACAAACAAACGATCGCACTTAGCTCGGCCCCACCGAGCCCATTCCATACCATAAGCCCATTCTTCACAAAGTTTTGCCTGTCTTTGAGCTGCCATGTATTTTTTCGTCTCGAATGACAGTAATTCATAATGTAGATGTAGATGTAACGTAGTAATAGAGGGAGAATTGTTTAAATTTATAATATGTAACATTAAGTATATTAAGTATATTATCACTCTAGTTAGTTGGTTTCATATACCACAAAATTCTTCTCTATCCAATGGTAAACACCGAATCTTACATTACGATGAGGCGATCAGCGCAGAGTTGTACTTCATTTTTATTTTGAAACAAAGTAGAAATAAGTAAATAAGTAATATATAATAAAAATATATTTTAATATATATTTTTACTGTATATAATGGACAATTGTTCCTTGTTGTTCAGCATATGGTGATCAGGCGGTGATTGGGATTTTTTGTAAACTAAAATAGAACAAAAATAAAGAAATAAGTGAATAAACGATAAATATTGAAATATGAAATAATATATTTACCTTAGAATGAGCTCGCACTGATGTCCAAGAGCTACCTGCCAGTACCGTAAACAGCACGTATCCAAGTAATCCAGAAAGTGTAGTTATTCCTTCAATTGAAGCAGTTAAAGGCCAAAGACTATAATCTACAAAGTGAAAAGAGTGATTTGAATGTGTTGACATTAATTTAATTCGCTAGAATAGGAAGTTCTTAAAAAAGCAAAAACATAATCAATTATATCTACAACAGATTCTAATACTAATAACGTAATTTGTGTAAAAATTAATAATCAAATTAGGGATATTCTTATTGATCGGCCGGCATTTCCTAGAAGAGTTAATAAAAGGTGTTCCGCAATTATATTAGCAAATTTATATTAGCAATTATATTAGCTAATATACCTGGGCAAATTATATTTCTAATAGTTTCAATACAAAACATATGAAATTGTTTACAAGTCAAAGGTAGGCACAAAGGTAGGGACAAAGATCGGCACAAAAGTAGAGACGAAGGTCGGCACAAAAGTAGGCACAAATGTCGGGAATTAAAAAGAAAACATATGAAATTGTTTATAAGTCAAAGGTAGGCACAGAGGTCGGCACAGAGGTAGGCACAAACGCTAAATGGTATTAAAACTGCAGGGGTTCCTTGAGAGGCTAGATGAGCAAATATATGTTGTGTATTATTTAGTCAGCCCTATATTATGAAAGATAGTCATAATGGTAAATCCAAAGTTAAAGTAAGGGTTAAATGATTTGTTCTATTAAAAATACATAAATTATTAAATAAAATTATAGAAAATAAGGAAACAAAAATGAATGTAGAACCATTAGGACTTATAGGTCCTAACAAGGTCTTAAATTCCTTATGTAAGGTGTCATGAGACTCGTTACTTTCATTGCCGGCTGAGTATTTGTCTTTTTCTGACAAAGAAATAAAAATAAAATAAAAAGAAAAGAAAAGTCCCGTCGGTTGTCTGCCGTCTGTCTGTCCACTGTAAGTCAGTCGGTCGTCGGCCCTACATATGCACACCCCCTTTCTCCTTTCAGCTACAGCGGTGGCAGCTGTAGCGCTTAACTACTCATCGGGGACACAAAACAACAGGGGAATAAATAACTAAAGTAACTTACAATACAATCCTCTCGCGATGTCGTGGCTGTCTCCTTCGGCGGCTCCTGTCCACGGCAAGGAAGTAGGAAGTTCGTCTTACGTCGTCGGCACAATCACAACACAGCTGGGATGTAGGTGCATGTGGGTGCACGTAATTCATAAGCTACTGGAAAATTATTCTTCTTCCTCTTAACACCTCTTGATTGAGGCAAACACATTGATCCTTGTTTTTTTTCGATCATTTATTAAACGCACGAATAAAAGATAAAATGTAATAATAGTTCAGGTGCACATCAGTGCTACAATCAAGGCATTTAGGTAGACATTTTTTTGTTTCACAATCATTTGTTTATACATGTCAGATTCGCTTATGGAATTAAGCAGAATTCTAAATTTTTCATAACTTATTGGAGTGTATTTTTTTTCTTTACAATTTATTAAATGCGCTTGGCTATTT